TATATAATTTAGAGTATTCCAAAAAATGACAGTGTTGCTTATTGGTTTTTGTGCTCCCCAGGATGGTAAGTGTCTGGAAAACAGAGTGTATCGTGATTGCTGAATCACTAGGAGCTAACACAGAATTAGACTGCAACTAATTCTAGGTAAATATTTCCTGAAGCAGTTAATTAATGTTTGTGTAGAAATAAAAGTCAACTTCAGAATAAAGCATATCATAAATCCTAAACAACATCACATTTAGGTGTCCACATGTCATACAGATTTTTAGAGAGGCATTCTAGATTTGAAAGAGAGACTAGATAATGTGTTCACCTGACAAATTGATAGAAACTTCAGCTGAAAAAAGAGAGTAGGAATTAAAATACTGACACTCAATTACAATTTTTGTTCTTCTTTTTTTTGAAAATCGCACATTAATTGCCAACATGCCCTTTATGTGTAGAGTGGTGGTTTTTGTGGGAAGAAAGGTGTACTTTGTCACCTGTCAAGAGATTTTGGGAGTTTATAATTTACACAGGCAGTTATTACCAGAAGAATAATTTTCACAATGAATTATTTTTCTTTATTTATGATTAAGAATTATGAGATTCTTTAGAGGTGACTGGGTTCTATTGGATTAAGATCATTGAATGTTCGTAAGATCTGTGTATGTGGCTCTCACATACACATCTATCAGTGTTCCTGGGAACCAAGTCTGTGGACACTGTTTGATGTTAGTGACAATTAGAAATTGACTTACAAATCAAAGAGTCACAAGTAACTCGATGGCACATAACAACAACAACAACAAAAGATAAATATTTCTGAATCAGATCTCAGTATTAGTATATTTTAAAGGACAAAGATACAAGCAGAGTCCAAACCAAGAGATGATCAGTAAATTAAAATTTAAAGACAATTAGGAGTCCTCATTTAGCTTATTATAGTCACTGTATTTCACTTCAAAATTATTTCTGCTTAAAGAACTATAGTTATTTGTCTAATATAAAAAATTCACTTAAGCAGAGCGGGTTGAATATAGACAATATTTTTAAAAAAATTCTCATTTCAAGTGTATACAGTTTTGCTTATTTCAGTAATGAATTTACCTGAGCCCTGTGCTCAGAGGTAAAGAGCAAGTCATGAAATCTCCATACTTTCTGTGGTCCCCAAATTACTTGCTGCAGAGAATGACCCTTCCCTATATTTCTAAGAGAAGATTCATAGATGAAGCCCTTGTTTACCTGGAACAAGGTCAAAGATCTCTCAAATTTCTTTTTGCTTTCTTATAATTGATGAGTTGTTTGTCTTCATCGACAAATTGGAACAAATTCGTTAATAAAAGTTTATTCATGTTCTTTCCTTCTTTCAGGTCATTAAAGTTTGGACTGCATTTGAGTTTAAACAAGCTTTGGGAGTTAAACCAAACACTACAATACAGAACAATCTCCCTTATCAGCCTTTAGGAGAATCTGTCTCTTATCCAGTCAGAACTGATTCATAGCTGACTCTCCATTAAACCCCAAGGCTGTCTATTGAACAGAAGATTGCCGATCTTCCTCTTGAGGATCCACTTATAGATTTAAACCACCTGAGAGATCAAGTGGGGTTTCTGGATAAGCAGTACAACTCACTACAGACTATGCAACCACCATACCTCCTTCTTAGGAGAATCAGTCAATTGTACAGTCATTTCCTGTCTGATAACACCACTTGCCTAGCCTATTTATTCCCTGACTCTTGGTTGGTTGTAGCTTGTTGATTCCACTCTATAAAAGACACACATAGGCTAGCCACGAACTGGAGCCAACTCAACAGTAAGTAACAATAGAAGATCAACCCTAAATACCTAATCTTCACGATAATAGTTCTTAGGGGGAGTGTTTTCCTTACTATCATAGACCTCTCCCTTGTTGCATTTATATTTCTAATTATGGACTTAACCAGTTCATTATGCATTATTATTATTATTATTATTATTATTATCAGTATTAGCATTATACATAAATGGAGGATATAACTTTTCCAACAAAGGTTCTCCTAGTTAGGTATCAATTTGATTTTTCACTTGAAGATAATAATCTTATTAATCAGCAAGGTTTCTTCCATCTCTATTATATCAAGTTCTCAGTTACTGTTGTTGTACCATACAACATATCCTGTCCAGTCTTGAACCATTCTTACAATTTCTTTTGTGCTTAAGCACACTGTTGCAGTCTCTGTTACAACGCATTTTATTGACAGTCCTCCCCCTTTTTGCTTAACTACTATTTTACCGAGCATAATGTCTTTCTCTAGTAACTGGCTCCTACTGAAAACGTGTAAAGTATGTGACATAAATTCTCAGCATCCAAGTCCTCAGGTCTGATGTCCAATTTATAGAACTTACACTATCATTAAAACAGGCCTGGAAGCAGGAGTGGCATCCACTTCTGAAATAGTTTCCCTCCGGAAACTCTATAAACTTGGCTAAATGATGAAAGTTATACAAGTGTTCAGGTCTTTTGTTCATAGGGTCATTATGAGTCGTATACGACTTGAAGGCACTTAACAACAACAACCACCACCACCACCCTAGCATGTTAGGTAGACTTTCTGTCACTTTGAAACAATTGAACTAAATCCTACTGTCCACTATATTACCACAATGTGGCATCATCTGCATATGAACCAAATATTTTACCCTGACATTTTTAAGTATATAACTTCTGGTTAGCTCTCACATATTTATCTAATATTGAATTACTAGAACTTAAAAAAAAGAAATTTAAAAAAAGTAAGGTTTTATTTCATTGTATTAAATATTACAAGGTGTTAGAAGAAATACTAGTCTAATATACTGAATTTCCCAACATACTAATTAATGTATTTTTTTCCAAACATATCTTTGTGCAATTTTTTCCATCAAAGTCTTACAGGTTGGAACAGGTGACATGATCTGCATTCATAGCTCTATGTTATGGAGATGGAGCTGAGCATTATGGGTACTTGTACAGCTGACCTCCATGTCCACAGGATCCATACCGAGAGATTCAACCAACCACGGATGGAATCAGAAGTTTAGAGAGAAGCAAATAATGATTAAAGACATTCCTCAAACACAAATAGGGAGTATGAAGAACTATTTACACAGAATTTACATTGCATTTCATTTTTAAATCATCTAAAGATGATTTAAAGTATATGGAAGGATGTATATCATTTATATGCAAATACTGGGCCATTTTATAGAAAAGACTTGAGTATCTGTAGATGTTAGTATCCACATGGGTACTAGAACCAATCTTCAGAGGATACTAACTGACAACTGTATTTATATATGTATACATATATCAATATTTTATATTTATACATATACATGTACACATACATACATATATACACACACAAGCACTCACATATATATACACATATACATAGAGAAAGAGAGTGGGAGAGAAATTAACTCATCAAATATTATTCCTATTACCAGAAAGTAATTTTATAAATTTAATCAACTTTAAAATTACATTGTACTTTGCATGAAGATTTTATTTCATTGGAAAGTCAGTCTTTAATTTTCTTATACTCTCTTTTTTGCACAATGGTGTCTTTTTTCTTTTTAAAAGGTGGTTAAAAATATATGATCAACATGTTTACACTGAGAGCATTTTAACCATGTGTCAAGAATCAAGCCTGAGCTGTGTGGTTTTAAGGCTCTAGCTTAGAGGCTCGCTTGAGTGTTAAAGCACCTTTGTCTCTGCTTCCTGGGCCACTCAGTGGGAAGCAGGAACCACAGGCACACCTCAGTTTGAAGAAGACTACAGAAGTCCATGCAACTGAAGTTGAACAACAAACCAAATAAATATTTTATATTGTAGGAAATTTGATGACCCCAATAGCCTTCCCACCTCACCTTCCTTCACTTCAGATTTAAAAATGCTTCAAACCCAGAAATAGACAACTTTCTACTACCCTTCCCTTAAAGATGCTCTAAGGAGATAGGAAAGGAACTCTGGTGGCCTATTTTTTTAAGGAGTTGAGCAGTCAACCCAAAAGCAGGCAGTTTGAATCCTTAGCAGCCCTAGGAAGTGCAATCTTCTCCCACGTGATTCCTAGCCTCTGAAAGCCTGCTGGTGGGTCAGCTAGGAGTCAGATCCAACTTAACAGCAATGAGTTTGAGTTGAAAAGGAAGTGAGAAACATCACTGGTGTAGAGTGAACACAAAAGAAGACACCAGGACCTATTATGCTGACAGTTCGCCTCTCCTTTTGCCTGATAATCTATATTTAAGATTTTTAAGAGCCTCAATATGTTTCTTTTCTTGTATGCTCTGAAACACTATAGTACAAGTGTTCTCTTTTGTGAAACATGCACAAAATCTAAAATAAACATTTTCTTTGCATTAATCTCTTGGTGTGTTAAGTTACTGTTTTCTGGTAGTTTTCTTTTTGCTGTAAGATAAGAAACTTAAAAAAAAAATCCCAGCATAATATTTATGTAAGAGCAGCAGACTTCTGACAAGCTCCATTTACATGGTACATTGTTCCAAAAGGTTTCTGAGTAGAAAATACAGAAGCATTATACAAACCTATTATTACATTTGAGAAATCATTAGCCTCAAAGGAGTAATAACGGTATGCTATTAAAACCATGAATACATTTTCAGTATCCGCATTAAAAAAATCTTTATAAATATGTAAATTTCTGTTCAACAAATTCAAAATAAAATGCACTAAAAAAACTGATATGTAGACAAAAGTTTATTTACACCATACAACATTTTAAATATTTTATACACAGCTGCAGCAGGGAAAGCTACTCAGAGCTTTCTAGAGAAAACTGCAATAATAAAGATGTGAAATATATTATTCATATAAAAGTGAGATTATTACTTTATTGCATTTAAAGCAATGAAGAATGTAGCTCAACAAACATTCATTTAATGACAAAAACTTTGCTTTTATATTATAAAGTAAAAAGTGTAGTAATGGCCAAACAGACTGTTATAAACTTTAAAAACTGCATAAATATATACATTGTGCTTCATGGTGAAGTTTTCTGAAAACTAAACCATATGAAGCGGTTACAACATGAATCGTTGTTGAGGTTTATCTATAAAGATTACCTTACAAATCCATTCCACGGGTACTTACAACACAGGATGGTCAGAACTGTACACCTGGTTCTCTCTCCACTAGCCTGACTAGTGAGAAGTTACCATACGAAAATACCACTGACTTTTGGCACATGAAGGTCCTGACATAAGATAGTCACACTGTCCAGATAGAAATGCCAGGCTTCCCAAGTCTTAAGTGTCAGTGCAATAAATTGTTTTGTCTTCACCTCAATCCACTTGGATTTTGTTAAACTTCTGTTTGAAAGTCACCCTCCTGCACATCCAGAGGCAAATTCAGACACTTCTCCCATTCTGCTGGCCTCAGTTCCAAAGCATCTTTAGCCTCTGTGTCTAAGACATTGATTGTGGTGTAATGTTGATATTCACTGGGGTTTTTGAAAGTGTCCCATGGATTCTTGTTTGGTGCTGGGTTTTCCTGTTGAGAAAAAGAGAGGAAGAGAGCTATTTATTTGATGACTAGGATTGCTGCTTGTTGAAGTTTCCAGGAAGAAAGTTGTTTGTAAGCCTGATCCAGTTTAAATGATTACAGAGAAGATTTGAAATTGTGGCCAGCTGCAGGAAATAGTCTTGATTCTAGCTTACTTTCATGGAATATACTGATAAACACCTACTTTAAATTATACTAAAGAAGTCTCCCAAGAATTGAAGAAAGTGACTAATATTCTGAAAGGAAAAATGGATCATTTTTGGAGGGACATCTCGTTAAATATCAGTATGGCTAGATGTTAAAAATAGGAAGATGAGTTGTTTAAGTTATTGCAAAGATTAAGCATAAACGAAGTAAATACTGTTGTAGTATCTATGTTGAGGCAAATACAAGTTTGAGAATATTTAATGGGGAATTGTTATTCATTAAGTAAAATAGTTATCCAAATGGCTTTATAAAATTGAATTGCACAAAAGTAGAATTTTAGATCTTGTCTTTATTTTTCCTCAAGGAATTTTCTTCTTTATCAATATTAAAATACTGCTGTATTCTTTCATTTTATGATCACTTTTAATACTGTTCAACCATATACTTTTCTAAATATTAGGATCATGTGCAGATTAACACAAATTATTATTTACTCCAAAGGCCACTGTTTTTGGAAAACACCTAACAATAAAAAAGATTTTTTAAACTATACATGCAATCAGAGAGTTGGACAATGACTAAGGAGAATAGAAGAATTGATGCCTTTGAGCTGTGGTGCTGGAGAAGAGTATTGAGGGTACCATGGCCTGCTAGGAAAGCAAACAGATTCATCCTGGAAAGGGTTAAACCAGGTGGCTCCCTGGAGGAAAAGATTCTGAGGCTCTGTCTAACATACTTTGGACATATTGTAAGGAGAGACCGGTCCTTGGAGAGGGACATCATGCTTGGTAGGGTGGATAGACAGTGCATGAGGGGAAAGCCCTCTATGAGGTGGATTGATTCAGTGACTGGGATAATCGGGACGGGAGTGTCAGAGACAGTGCGATCGGCACAGGACAGAGAAGAGTTTAGGGCTATTGTACATAGGGTTGCTATGAGTTGTAAGCGACATGACGGCACATAACAACAACAACATACATGCAATACCAAACTTTTTTATGCTTATAGCATATATCTCTTTATTTTCTAAGATTTTAAGCTTTGCCTCATTATGATCTCACTTAATATTGTGCCATCTTGTAGGTGCTCAATAAATAAATGTTGGAAGAGTTACTAGATGCTTCTGCAGTCTGATCTTTTGCTACGATATAAGAGTGAATTTGATATTCTGTTGTTGTTGTTGTATGCTGTTGTGTCAGAACCAACCCATCGTTGACCCTCTGGCTGGTTTTCAGAGGCAACTAACCAGTGGGGAGGAGATTATCTGTTCTTCTCCCGCAGAGCATCTGGTGGCCTCGAAGGCCTTCTGTATAGCAGTGCAGCTTCTTGCCACTAGGCCACCAGAGCTCCCTGAATTTGCTATAGAATTCTATATACTTTATTCAAAGCTTTCTCTCAAATGAGGGAATATAGATTAGATATACTAACTTGAGAATCATTCATTAACAAGAGAGAAATCATAACAAATAACTTCTTGAAAAGAAATGAAAACAACCAGTCGGTAGCCTATTGCATGAAGAATTATGTAGATTATTGATTAAAGCTGCATTTATTTATTGTCTTAAGCAGAAACACCTAATGAAAATTGTTTTTTATACACTAGATCTGGTTCTAAATTCAATACAGTGATTCACTAAAGATAATTATTCCTTATGAAGAGGACCATTTAACTCTTTCTAATTAAATTTTTTACTTCCAATTTTATCCCAACAAACTATGCCAGGCTATAGAGAGTTTTTCTTTTGAAAAACACTGCCTTTTGCTTCCCTAAAGTCTTGGTCTCTATTCTTCCAGATTATCAAAATGGTGCAAAAGGCTTAATGATTCACTTTTGGTCTAATTTTTCATGATAAAATGTATGTTTAGGTACACCAGGATGGTTGTTGATTGTGTTTCTCCTGATTCCATGGTCCAAAACAAGGCCAAAAATGCTTATATTTGCTTATCTGGTAGAACATAAGATAGATATTTGAATTACATTTTGGGTCCCTCTAAGGATGTTAAGCATTGTCTGAGGAATATTTTTTTTAAAGTAGCTATAAGCAAGAGACACAATATATAGAAATGCTTAGCATGATTAGAAACAAAATTATCAAAGTCCTCAATAGCATTCATTGTTATTGTTGTGTGCCATGAAGTTGGAAATAACAATCATTAAAAAATTTACAGTCAAAAAAGCAAGTTACCTTTACCTTTAGCAACTTCAAAAAAAGAAACTGTCTTATCAACAACACAAAACCAATTCCCATGAGGTCAGTCATGTCCCCCGCACTCCTGTTGTACCTCTTTTTATTTATCCCAACACCAATTTTACTGCTTTCGTAGGCCCCAAAACTGATACAATAGCTAACAGACCAGACGGACCATACTGGGGAAGTCAAACAGCTATAATTCAAGTTAGTAGCAAAATACAATCAGGACAGCTTCCAAAATGTGCTCACAGCTGCCTCAGTCTTGAATCTTGCAGCTTTAGGTCAGTGTTACAAAGCTCTCAGTCCTCCCAGTTATGCCTCTCCCTATCAATCCTCCAACAGACTTGGGCAAAATTTCTTAGCTTGAGTTCCCTGTGGGCTGGCTGGCAGTCCCAAAATCCACTCTGTCTCCTGTCAGGTCTCTGGTTCTGTGTTGTGGCTGTTATCGCTGCTACCCCAAAGACCCTGGTCTGACTGGTACAAGAGTCTCTGGCCCAAAAGGACACAATGCATTTCCTTGCATCTTCTTTCCTGGTGGTGAGGTTCTTCTATTCTGCTGCCATATTCGATCAATTTAATAGCAAGACTTGTCAACTCCCTTGTGGATAGGCTAACATGCCCAATTCACATCTTACATCCATCCACATGAATAAGTGAGTCAATAGCTAGGAAACCCACTTGAACAATAATCCTTAACATCAGAGATTTACTATCCAACTATTTTGCACTAACAATGTATGCCTCACTGAGCTGGGGGATGAATCTGCTGGTTGATGAAAACTTGGATAAGTGATGATTCTTACTGGTTTAGCAGTTATGTAATCATGTAATTTAGTGATTATATAATGATGCAATAATCATCTTCTACTTTGTGATCTGATGTGATTATCCTCCATTTTAATGTAGTGCCATTTTTGCATAATGATATAGTATTTGGAAGCTATTCATGCCAATCATGCTTCTATGATACAACAAAAATACTCTAAGAGTACACAAACTTATGAACTTCCTGTGTGTTTGAGACAAGCCTCCAGGTTCTCAGTTGGAAATATATAACATTTTCCAATGGCCAGAATGAATGATAAATGAAGGGATCATTGTATGTAGATAGGGAAGACTTCAGTGAAGCCCTCAATTTTACTATACAAAAATTTAATGAGAGTTAATGTAAACTCTCAAGTTTCTACAGCTGTTTTTTTTTTTTATTTTTATGCTCAAGTATGGAGGAGAGTAAGCAAAAAGGAAACATTATGATACTGGACTAATGAACTAGAAATTCAACAGAAGGCAGTAAGTTATGGACCTTCCAAAAATGTTAATGCTGACTTAGGCTTGCTTCATTAAAAACAGAATGTTCAGATGAGATGTTAGATAACTATGATAATTCATAATCAACCAAAATATTAAGAGGCTGCCTGAACTTTTCTCATATTTCTTGGGTGCAGAAGTAAGCAGGATATGGGTCCAATTGTGGATAAGTTCCTGGCTTTCTCCCTCTCTCGTTTTCTTTCTCTCTTTCTTCATACTTCAATTCTATTCCTTTCCTATTCCCTTTCTTAAAATCCTCCATCCTTCCTTTCTTTTCTTCTTTCTTCCAACTTGTCAATATCTGGAGATAAGGCAAAAGAATTTTATTTCCTTTGCAATAGTAAGAACTGAGAAATCTATTTGGAAAGAGGGCTTGATTGCAAAAGACATGCAAAGCCTATTCAGAGTAATATATTGCACAATGTCTCTGGATATCATTAAATAATGCCTTTTCTGTTGTAGCATGATTTAAACATCATACTGCCTGGAAACAGGAAAATGGACTAAATGGGCTTTTGGTTTCCTTTTGAGTCCCCAAGTTCTATTATTCTATATAATTATCATAATTTGTACTGTTGGGCAAGTGTTGCAAGTTAGTAGCCAGAAAAGGGAGACACATTTTATCTGAGATTTTTTTTTAAAAAGTCTTTATCCATCCCAATTATACAATTTTTCATTAGTAGTGTGCCACAACAAATTATGTAACTGAATTAAGGATAATGAACTCACTCATGAGCATATTATTAATCAAAACTGAATAAGGCACTCCTGGTCTTTTTTTCCGGCTCTCAGATATTTGGGACGATAGTCAAGCAGCCATGACAACTCTATCGTCCCCCCTCATAACCTCTCAAAGAGTAAATATTTATAAATCTCTTCTGGAAAAGCCATGCTGCTGCAAAGATGTGGTGTAATTAGTAGACTATTTTGGTTGTCAGGAAACTGAGATACAGATATTGGTGCCAATAATGGCTTAATACCAAGCACATACTAGAGGAAATTACAATCATATTATAGCATTTAGCCAGCTGCATCTGTTGCATAAGTCTTTTACATTTGTAAACATAGCCCCCCTATTTTTTTTAAAAAAAACAAATGTTTCTTTACTTTATTTCAATGTCAGCTTTCAATATTCCAAAATGAGTAGCTAATGGGTTTAGGTCTAATCTCAGTGGTGTAATTCTCATTTTGCTGCTAGCTAAAATTTGACAGCGTGGTATTAAGAAGAATAGATGTGTAGAAACACATGCAACATCTATCTGTCTGCCATCAGATTGCTGATATAAAGGATGCATGATTTCTGTACTAAAGATAAATAAAACAATACAAACCTGGCATGTATAAACTATTTAGAGAACAGTGAAGGACTAAAGTGTTTAATATTCCTTATAACTTTCATTTACCAGTCACTGTTTCAACTTTTCACAGATATAATAAACCTGTCAGCAGCCATTTACAGATATCTTGTTTTAGTAATGAGAGGAATAACAGGAAAATATAAAGATACATAAATTCTTGCTTTTTAGATGCTAATGTTACTAATTATTACAAACTTAGTACTAACTCTCTTAAAGAAGCAGCAATGCAATCTTATAGACATAAAGGCAAGAGGTCCAAATCCACCAGCTAGTTCTGGCTCCATGATAGCCAGATCTCTCTCTTACACACACACACACACACACAGTCTAGATGGCCAGATTACAGGGGAGCAGGTTATCTATTCAAAGAGTATAAGGCAAAAAAAGAGCTCCAGAAGATAAGGAATGAGGAGTTGCAGTTAGACAACAGTCTCAAGCCCACTTTTTGTAGCTCTGAGTTTTAGCTTCCTGAACTCTGAAGTGAGGAGCTTTGATGGCCCACTGGTAAGGAGCTGCACTACCAAACCAAAGGCATGTGGTCTGAATCCACCAGCTGATCCAGGGGAGAAAAATGGCCATTCCATCGTGTGTGATTTACAGCCTGTCAAAACCAACTACTGTTGTTTGCTTTTGAGTCAGAGCTGACCCATAGCTCGCCCTCCAGCAGATCTTCAGTCATTAAATCTCATGGCAGGAGATAGTTCATTTTTCTCCCACTGAGTGGCTGGTGGAATTGGACCATATCCTTTGAGATTGCAACACATTTTCTTACCACTAGGCCACCAGAGCTTGCCCATCAAAGGATCAGATATGAATCAGTTCCAAATTGACAGCAAATAACAATAACATACTATAAAGTATCCTACTTGCTTCTTGAAATTGAGGACTTAATGGAGCCTATGCTAATTATCATTTTGTATATTCATTCTCTCTCTCATTGCCATCTAGTCAGTTCTAACTCATAGCAAACCTTACATTGGGTTACCAAGGCTATAAATTCCATGGGACAAAGCTGCCCATCATTGTCACAAGGAGTCCTAGTTGATTTGTTACCGGAGAGGTCCCTGTTCATGGACTACACAAGCAGAGTTCCCTATATTAAATTTAAGAGAATAAAACTGAGGTTAAGAAAACGGAATTTGGTGATGTGCTGAAGGTTTCATTGGCAGTTTTCTGTTGCGCTTTTGACTAGAATTCTGTTTTAGTGCTCTTATAAATAACATAGCTGTAGCTACCCACACTATGTGGCATGCACAGTGTGGGTTAGTTTAAAAGTTGACTTTTCTGGCCATTGTATTAGCCCCTGTTGGTCTTCAGATGTTTTAACTATGAGACACATCGTCTTGCAAATCATAAATAGCTGTGGAGTTAATATAAGAGAGAATGTACTTTCCACACTACAGAATGAAACCACAGAGACAATGGTGGTGGTAAGGTTGTAGAGAGACTGTGGCATTGCCGTGGAGAGACTGGGGCAAAGTGTAATATGAGGCTTCTTGCATTTGTGCTAGCCACAGTTAAGGGTTTTATTTGCCAGATGATTAAATGAGAAACTGACTTATAACTGCACTGAGCCAAAACTTGCTGAATGATTTGGATTTATGCTACTGAACTGAACTGGGACTTTTACCAATTGAATAATTGTGTTTTTCTGTTAATCTTGGATGGGAATGTTAGATGAAACCTGTACTTATATTGGGTGATATTCTTTGCTTCTTCCACTCTCCAACTTAGTTCTCAAATAAATCCCACTGTTGGTACCACCGTGAGTAAAGTCTGAGAGTCAACAATGAATACCAAAACCAATGATTGGTGTAAATAAGTACAGGAAGATGAGGGAGGAGCGGTGTGTCTGACCTAGAAGCTATCTCTTTGCTGTTATGGATACTATTAATGAGGACTGTTCCAATTTATGAAGTGGTTATATTATATATGAAGTCTTATATTAATGTGAAGAGGATGAGTACAATCAAAACTCCAGCATTTATGTATCTCCCAAAGTTCTTCACAAAACAGAGATTTCTCCTGGAGATTTAAACCCACACCTTTGATTTCAGATAAAAATTTCACATGTGTAAAATAACTATATTGTACTGTCTCAAAATACTAGGAAATAAAATGAAAATGGAAAATGCCATCAATTATTTGAATACATAAATTATAGGTATGGGAATTAATTAATCAATTTGATGATAAAATAAACTGATTAAGCCAAAACTTTATACATATTGCAACTTCTACTGAAAGCTCACAAACAGTGGCATTTGATTTGAAATATGGAGGAAAATGTGTAAAGATTTTATCATTCCTAATTTTGTCTCCAAGAAGTCATTACAAAACCCATTTCTTTCTGGAGGTAAGGAAATTAATGTCCATGTGTTTTCTCTTTTGATTTTAAGATCAATAGCAGCTTTTGGAGGTGGAATTCCTTTAGTGATTAAGGTTAGGGCCACTAACTGAGGGGTTGAGACTTGAGTCTACCCAGAGGTATCTTTCAAGAAAGGAAAGCTTCCAAAATTCAGTCATGGAAAATCTCATGAAGAAGAGCAACACTCAGATCCACATAAGGCCACCGTTGGTCTTAACTGATTCAACAGCAACTTGTTCAGTGTTTGGAAAACAGAGTTAGCACCTGGCCCTTCATACCTCACCTAGCCTTGTGGTCCTAGGAATGGATGAAGCATACTTACCATACTGCTTGTATTTGGTATATCCCGGAATCTGTCCAAAGTTTGAAATTTTTGATTTAGTTCCTGAAATAATTCCATATGCCTCTTCCTTGTATGCATGACCTTCTGCAAAAGAGGGGGGGGGAATGACTTTAATTTCTAATTTGATGTATGCATTAAGAATTTCATATATTCGTGATAGTAATAAGGCAAAGGATAGAAAGGTGTTTAGGTCTCTCGTACATAAGGTCGCTATGAATTGCAAGCCATTCGATGACACATAACAACAACAACAAATAAGGCAAATCAATTAGGTAAGAGTCAGTAGGTTTCATAAGATGCCACAAATGTAAATATGTTGTACCAAATCTTACTTCCTATTCAGCATTTATTTGTAGAATTGCTTTCATGATTACCAAAGAACAGTTTTCTCTGGTGGGTGCATTAAAAATGAAGCAGCCATCTCTGCATAAGATTTTGATCATTCAAAAGTTAAAGCTGGTTTACAAAAATTTGTTATAATATAAAAATATGCTAAAAATTTTGGAATTGGCAGAGCACATGAACTTCTCAATGTTCGTCATGGGAAAGATTCCTTTTTTTATGTTTATTTCTGTAAACACTAAGGACCAATCTGGCTATACTAAAAGGGGCGCAAACCCCAGGCCCTGTCATTAAGGCTGACTCAATGCACTGAAGTGCTGGAAATAATTCTGGGATCTAAGACCTTGCACTTTCCATGTGAATAATGACTGAGTTTCACGGAAGGAATATAAACCCATATGTTTCATATATTTGTTTACTGGATGGTACAATCTTAGATTTTTTACCATTAGGGTTCAAAGCATAAATTCTGTACTTGCTACATTTCTTAAATCACAATTACAAATGTGTCCATATTCTGCATCCTTAGTCACATTCTTTCTTTCCAACTCTAGCACAACTCAGAAAAAGGAACCATAAAGAAAAATTACTTTGGAATAAATATCAAGGCTGAATATTTCTGTATGGTTGAGAATTTGAAAGAACATTAATAAGGAAGAGTTAGCAAAACAATTATGAAATATTATCTCACCCCAGTCAGAATAGCAAAATTTAACGGAGTAGCAAGCAACAAATGATGATGAGGTTGTGGAGAAACTGGAACCCTTATTCCCTGTTGGTGGGAGTGTAAAATGGGGCAACCACTGTGGAAGGCGGTATGGCACTTTCTCAAAAAGTTGCAAATAGAGATACCATTTGACCCAGCAATTCCACTACTGGGAATATATCCCAAAGAGATTATAGCTGACATCCAAGTAGATATATGCACACCCATGTTTATTACGGCTTTGTTCACAATAGCAAGGAGCAGGAACAACCTAAGTGTCCATCAACAAACGAATGGATAGAGAAACTCTGGTATATTCACACAATGGAATACTTCGCTGCATTGAAAAACAAGCAACTCATGAAATATTATTCAAAATGGATGACTCTGGAGGACGGACATTATGCTGAGTGAAGTATCTCAGCCACAAAAGGACAAATATTTCATGGTGCCACTGTTGTAAAACAGAACTGACCTCGGGGTTGGGGGGAAACTGAAAAAGATGGGTTCAGTTGTAAAACAGAATTCACCTCGGGGTTGGGGGGAAACTGAGAAAGATGGGTTCAATTATGTATACTGCATTGAAACAGATGAGGGAGAAAACTGTTTAAGAGGGATATGCTATCAGGTATTTTTGTCATGATAGGAGTCCAGAGTGAAGGCTTCATAGTGGAGTAGACCTGGGGAGAGAGACTGTAAAACAATGAAAGAATTTTTCTTTTACTTTTCCAAGAGTAGTATACTAGGGGGGAGGGTTGGGAGGGGAGAAAAGTGCAACAATGAAAAAATGGAAATCCAAAGTCTCTGTAAATTTTCATTGAAATTAATAATAAATTAAAAGATATTAATAGGAAAAAAAAGAAGAGTTACCTAAAATTTGCCTAGATTTATCAGTGTTACTTTAGAGAAGAAAATTTCCCTCAATTTTTATTTTTTAAAGGTAAAAGGTCAATATTTTGGCAATTCTGCAAGATTCTAGTTTCATGTTAATGTAAGATTTTACAATATTTTGAAACATCAAGTCTGCATATAATAATTTTCTTATGTGGATTAAATGTATATTATAAGCATGTTTAAAATGTGATTAGAATATTTAACTCATTTCTGTAATTATCAATATTTTTGAATGCAAAAATGCATTTTGAAAAAAATTTATCTTTGGAGGAATAGTTATAATTTCTCATTTTCCTCTAAAAAGACACTTGTGGAAACTTCCTCTCTCAGTAAAAAAAGGGTAAAATAGAAATGCAAATTGAATCCTAACATATTAACAAAGCCTATTCTCTGCTATGCCAACTTTAATTTCCTATGTTCAATTAATTTGCATGTAGACAATCATTGGCTTAGCTAATTTCTTCTACTTTCATTAACCCACTTTTATGTGAGATAATTCTATCATTTTGAAGCTTGTAATACCCAAATTATTTCCATTTTTGCTTCCCTTAGCACTAGGAGTTGGCTGTTGAAGAATCAAGTGATTGAGGAGTGGAACATTGGCAACATTACTCATGATAAGGACATGAAACAGTAAGTAATTATGGAATGATTAACTTCCCATCAGTTTGGGGAGTGTACAGGAAAAAGATTTTCACAATTTACAGAGAAACACCAGGCAACCATAATTTGACTAACGATGAGTGATGGATATTTATGAGAGGATTTGCATTTTAGTTATTAGCTGAGCACTTTAACCACAGTATTATCAAGGCTCTTGTGCAGAGAGATTCTGAGGATCATGCAATTGGCAACATATGTAGAATATTCTGTCCTTGGGGAGGTGAATATTTTAATGTAACACCAGGCTCTAAGATTTGTGTCAATATGGATTTTTAAAAAAATGTTTTTCTATGTATATCTTTAATTATAATAGTGATTCATATTGATCTGATTCAAGTCTCTCCTTGGAGGCTAGGATTTTGAAGCTCTGTCTCACTTACTTTGGGCACGTGGCCAGGAGTGGTCAGTCCTTGGAGAAGGACATCATGCTCAAAGGGTGGATTGACAGTGCAGGAGAGGGAGACCCCGGATGAGATGGATTGATACAGTGACTGGGGCAATTGAGGTTGGTGTATCAGAATTAGTCAGACTGGCTCAGGACAGGGAAAGGTTCAGAGCTGCTGTACATAGGGTTGCTATACATCACAGGCAACTCAATGGCACATACCAACAATAACATACTATGACAGGTTTGGAAGCAGGAGTGGCATCCACTTCCTAAATAACTTGCCTCCAGAAACTCTATGAATTTTGATAAATGTCAATAATTATAGAGGGGCTTCAGGCCTTTTGTTCATAGAGTTATTATGAGTTGTGCTCAACTTGAAGGCAACCAGCAACAACAACAACATATTGATTAGAATATTACTTCTGGATGTAACTTATAGTGTTTTTCACAGTAATGTATCATGCTGTATAGAATGATTTTGTTCTGGGATTAAAACTAATATCACCTTCTGTCATGTATCTTCAGATACTGTATTCTTTAATTTTGTATCTATCATACAGCTGTGTCACAATGGCATAAAATCCAATAATGTTCCTGTTATTTTGTAACTTAAAGTCTAATGGTGGGTGTGTTGTTGTTGTTGTTTTTGTTGGGTGTCATGAAGTTGACTACTGCTCAAAGCCACTCAAGGAACAATAACTCTGAACCTGAGCAAACCTTACTATTTCTGACACGCCTGCCTCCATTGCCACAGGCACTGTGTTAATCCAGCTCATCAAGGCTCTTCCTCTCCTGCACTGATCCTCCACGTTTCCAAGCATGATATCCTTCTCCAAGAACTGGTACCTCAAGGCAACATGTTCAAAGTATGTTGGAAATACCTTCAGAACTCTTACCTCCAAGGAGCAGCCTGGTCTCACCCTCTCTAGGATGAACCTGTTTGTACCTTTGGCAGTCCATGTTATGATCAGTTCTCTACTCCAATACCAAAACTCAAAGACATTGATTTGTCTTCTGCCATCCTTATGTATTGTCTAGCTCTCTGATGCATAGTAAGTATTTGAGAAGATCATGGCCTGGATCAGGCACAATTTAGTCTCCAGACTGACATCATTGTTCTTTAGCACTCTAGAAAGGTCTCTGACAGCATACTTTCCTAAGCAACTATTTTTTTTTAATTTCCTGACTCCTGATGCCAAGACTGTTGATTGTGGATCCAACCTAGAAAGATGAAATTTTGCTAACTACTTCAATCTTTTCTCTATCATGATGCTGCCAACTGGCCTGGTGGTGAGAATCTTTTATTTTCTTGATGTTGAAATGAAATCCATAATGCAGACTACAGTCCTTGACCTTCTGCAGCAAATATTTCAAGTTATCCTCAGTTTTGGGTAGCAAGGTTGTGTTATATCTGCATACACAAGCTGTCGATGAGTCTTCTTCCAGTCCTTATGCCATATACTCAAGTCTTTCAAATGATCTGTTCAATATATAGAATGAAAAGGTCCAGAGGAAAGATACATTCCTGATGCACTCCTTTCTTGATCCTAAACCATGCAGTGTTCTCTTGCTCTGTTCATACAACACCTTCCTGGTCTAAGTATAGGTTTCGCCTGAGCACAATCAAGTGTTCATTCTTCTCAATGTTAGCCACAATTTGTTGTGATCCATAGTCAAATGCCTTCTACATGGTCAATAAAACACAAATAGACATCTTTTGGGTACTCTGCTTCCCGCCAAGATCCATCTGACATTATTAAGGATATCCCTACTCTCCTGGCCTCTTCTAAACGCAGCTTGTATTTCTGGTAGTTCTCTGTCAATGTACTGGTCTAGTTGTTTTGGGATAATCTTCAGCAACTTTGTGTTTGCATGTGAAATTATTGATACTGTTTGGTAATTTTCACACTCTGTTGGATCACTTTTTTTTTGAGGAATGGGTATAAATATGGATCTTCTTGAATCAATTGGCCAGGTAGCTGTTCTCCAGAATTCTTGGCACAACCTGTAGTGAGCACATCCAGGATTGCATCTGTTCGTTGAAATACCTCAACTGGTATTCCATTAATTCCTGAGGCTTTATTTTTTTTG